ATAGGATGCTTCAAATCTTACCTTTATGTTGTCCTTGATGAGTGTGTGTGTGGCGCTTCACTTCGGGATACTTCGGTGATGTTTCCTCCTCATAGATTGTTGCAAATCTTGTCTTTTACGTTTTCCTTGATGAGTGTGTGTATGGCGCTTCATCCCGGGGTACCTCGGTGAGCATGCCTCCAGGGTAAATGTTTTCAATCTTGTCCTTTTTTTTTTCTATGTGCATAGATAGGTTGCTGATTCACCCGGTAGTACTTTTGCTGTTCAACGCCCGGGGTAGGATGCTGTTCACATTGTTCTTTTGTTGTTCTATGTGTATGGGTAGGTTGCTGTTCACCCGGTAGTACTTCGCTGTTCAACCTTCGGGGTAGGGTGCTGTTCACATTGTTCTTTTGCTGTTCCATGTGCATGGGTAGGTCGTTGTTCACCCGGTAGTACTTCGCTGTTCAACCCCCGGGGTAGGGTGCTGTTCACATTGTTCTTTTGTTGTTCTATGTGCATGGGTAGGTTGTTGTTCACCCGGTAGTACTTCATTGTTCAACCCCCGGGTAGGGTGTTGTTCACATTGTTCTTTTGTTGTTCTATGTGCATGGGTAGGTTGCTGTTCATCCGGTAATACTTCGCTGTTTAACCCCCGGGGTAGGGTGTTGTTCACATTGTTCTTCTGCTGTTCCATGTGCATGGGTAGGTCGCTGTTCACCCGGTAGTACTTCGCTGTTCAACCCCCGGGGTAGGGTGCTGCTCACATTGTTCTTTTGATGTTCTATGTGCATGGGTAGGTTGTTGTTCACCCGGTAGTACTTCGCTGTTCAATCCCCGGGGAAGGGTGCTGTTGACATTGTTCTTTTGCTGTTCTATGTGCCTGGGTAGGTTGCTGTTCACCCGGTAGTACTTCGCTGTTCAATCCCCGGGGTAGGGTGCTGTTCACATTGTTCTTTTGGTGTTCCATGTGCATGGGTAGGTCGCTGTTCACCCGGTAGTACTTCGTTGTTTAACCCCCGGGGTAGGGTGCTGTTCGCATTGTCCTTTTTCTGTTCTATGTGCGTGGGTTGGTTGTTGTTCACCCGGTGGTGCTTCGCTGTTCAACCCCCCCGGTGGGGTGCTGTTCACATTGTCAGTTTGCTGTTCTATGTACATGAGTAGGGTGTTGCCCACCCGGTGGTGCTTCGCTGTTCAATCCCCGGGTAGGGTGTTGATCACATTGCCGTTTTGCGGCTCTAAATGTTTGGGAAAGTGTCGACGGATCACTTCTTGTTGCTTCCTCTCTTGGGAATCTACGGTTCTGAAAAGAATGTCTTCACTATTGCAAGGGGGCATGTGAGGCCAAAACCAACGACCTACGAGAAAGGCATAAGGGGTAGGGAGTTCGGAGGTAGAATAGGATCGGTTGCGGACCACGGGACAAGCGAGCCATCACCCACACCCGTCCGCCATAACCGGCCACCCCCAACCCTTCTTCCTCCTCCATCACCCACACCCATCCACCATAGCCGACCACCTTCAACCCTCCTTCCTCCTCCATCACCCACGTCCATCCTCCATAGTCGGACCTTACCAACCCTTCTCCTTCCTCCATCACCCACACCCGTCCACCATAGCCGACCACCCCCAACCCTCCTTCCTCCTCCACCACCCACGTCCATCCTCCATAGCCGGACCTCCCCAACCCTTCTTCTTCCTCCACCACT